GACGATCCTGAATCATTCAACAATGTTTGTAAATTATTGAGGCTCCTTTGCTAATGATAAGAAGCCAATCTGTAGCTCTGCTGTCACATTAGCACATTTACAGTGACGTTTATTACCTGTCGTACTTGTTTGCAAAGCCCTTGCTGCTTGCAGCTGTACTTAAGTAAAGCAATTTGACGTGTATTGTGCATCTTAATGGAATAACTGCTCGCAAGTCAAAATACCTTTGTTTCTCATTCATCTGCTCATTTTTTCTGGATGTTAGCTGCTGATCCGAAACTCCATCCTACAGTGAGTTTTTTTGGTTTTGTCCTGCAAAGGTTTGCTTGTTTTTAACCTTTTTTCTCAGTTAACGAGATTTTCTTCTGCTCCGTGTTGCATTGTTTGCACTGATGATTCAACAAGGAGAGTTTCGTTGTAAAATCCACGCTGTGCTTGTGTGTGTGTGTCTGTGTGTGTCTATGTGTGTGTGTGTGTTTGTATGTGTTATTCGATGTGACCTTTCTCCATATGGTGTGGGACTAAGCGGGGAAACAGGAGGTGAGCCCTGCACATGCTATCAGTCTGAGCTGTTAGCCAGCATCCACAGTCATACACACACACACACACACACACACACACACACACACACACACACACACACACACACACACACACACACTAATATGCTGCAGGCCCAACATGTCATTGTTACCTGATATTCATGGTGTGTAGGAGAGACAGATGAAGGAGAAGGTCATGTGTGTGATGTCAGAGGCGGCGTGTTCAATGCTGGCCGTGGGTTTGATTGCCGCTCGCTCTTCTTGCACAGCCTCGGGCTCCCTCTACCCTCTGTCCTCCCCACCCACCTCCCACTATTGTCAGCATCGGTCCAGCCCCCACCAGGAGACAAGCAGACCTTTCTATTTTTGATTTCTAGTCCAAGATAAAACAATAGTACAGCATGCTCTCAGAAATCACTGACAGAGGCTGTATTTACAGTATCAAAGCAAGCTAATATTAATGGCTCGGCGGCTGTGTTCCAGGATGATGAATTATGTATGTAACACATACAGTACAGCAGCCAAACTTTATTCTGCTGAGACCCGGAGAGGATAACAGTGTTTTAGTGAAAATCTTGCAAAACTTTTCTTTTTATCTCTAGTAATACTTTGCATGTACTCTGCAAGCTTTAAGAGTCTAATCCCTCAGGATGAAGGCATAATCTCCAATAATATTAACAAACACACAAACAAAGAAGCCCATAAATTCAGAGCTCCTCATTTAGATGACCTTTACAACTCGATATCGTCTTAAGCCCGTTGAGTTATAAAATGTTATTAAAATCAACTCAGACAGACTTGTTTTTAATAAAGAAGCAAAAGCACAGAAAAAAAGGTTAAAAAGTAGGACCTGTCATGAAAATATGAAAATATTCTCTCTCCATTCAGTTTTTTATCACATGCTGCGTTGTCACATTTGTCAAATCCATGTGGAGATGGAGGGAAAAGGTTTTTTTAAGCATTTCTAAACTCATTTTATACTGTTGAAAGTAAGTCATTGTTTCTTTCAGTCGCTCATGCCAGGATTAGGATTAAACCTGGATTGCACCAAGTTCTCCAGCACCTGCCAGATTCTGTTGTAAAACTTAAAATCTCAGCAACTAAATTCAATCAGAATCCAATCAGAACAACAAAAAACAAGAATGGTAAATTAAGTTTAAATTACCACATTTATTGGTTTGGTCTTTATTTAGAAATTGAAAAATTAAATCCTTTCTCAAAGATCCAAAGCCATCTCAAATAACCTCTTCCATTAAGTTTCAAATCATTGAAGGTGACTAATGTGTCATTTCATTATTTTTGTCTTGTAGAGCTTCCTATCGTTGTAATCATTATTCCAATATCCAGGCATGAGGCTCTTTTATCTCACCATAAAACAGTTGGCAGCCTGAGTTTCGATTTGCTTCCTGATCCATTAGCGGTACCTAATCTTTAAACGGAGATATAACAGACCCTTTAGCATGCCCTGCTCTGTTGTGTTGCACACAGCAATGAATGAGTTGAACACAAATGCTAACAAAACAAAGCAACTGTCTGGACAAAAGGCTAACAAGAAGGTTTTTTCCTTGCAGCACTGGTAGCTTTACAAAAGTCATTGTTGCAAGATGTCGGTACAAACATGCTTATCATTTTCAAGTTTCTTTATGGAAGCCCCCCCCCCCAACCCCACCCCCTAAGAAATATCTTTGATTTTTATTCAGATGCAAATGTGCATCCTTAGGGGGGGAAAGGGCATTCTTTTAAACAGAAGGAAAAAAAGGGAAACGAAAGACGGAGAGGAAGTTCAGCTTATCACCACTCAACAGATGTTGTGACTAAATGTGTTGGTTTGTCTCATCACTCAGGCTGAGCGAAGTAAAGCTCCAGAGCCGGCCCGTCTGAATGGTCGGAGTCAACCAGCTGCAGCTAAAACACACACACACACACACACATTTATCTAGTAGCTGTAATTTGCTTCAATGACAGAGGTGGAAGGAGCCAGAGGATCAGGATGAGAACTTTGAGGCTGCCAAAGGCCGTTGGCCAAACGCAGGAAATTCATTTTCCAAGAGGAGACATTAAATGCATCATGCAGCAGGACAGACAGTGCCACAGCCAGGTAGCTTTCAGAAAGTGCTGAGTGGACAGAGTGGGGGACTTTTGACATAAAGAAAAAAGATCAAAACATTTTGTTTAGTTCCTGTGAGACCGAACAGCAACACAGACATTGAAAACATATTTCTGTCTACTACATGGTTTGAAGCCAGGTTTTCCAACTGTATTTTCTATGAAACACATTCTGATGAGATACAAAACTAGCTGTCTTCTACATATACCAGTGTTTACTGTTTCCGAGATAAGCGTCCCATTTTGTGGATGGTGTTCGTAAACTTTTCACCGTTATGAGGAAAATCATTCCAATAGAAGTTAAAGAATAGAGACAAAGATGGAAAGACTAAAAGAAAAGCAAACTCATGACATGCAAATGCAAACCCCTCACGTCAAAGGTCTTTATAGAGAGTAAAAGTCCTCAGTGCCTCCAAAATTATGCACATTAATTTAATTTAGAATCAGAATCAGAAACTTTATTGTCATTGTCACAAGAACAACGAAATTAAGAATGGACCCCGATCATTGCATCGGGGACCATTCTTAGTTAGTTAATTTACTGCTTGTTACCGCAGTATGATTGAGTCTGAGCTGAGGGGAAGCTACAATTTAGTCCAAATTAGCTTCTGTTGCTTAAAGTTATGTATTGAAAGATGTGTCACCAATATGAAAAAGTAAAATACAGAGAGCAAAAACATTTGCTCATGAAAACAGGATCAAATTTGACTTTGAGCAGTCACGAACTCCATCCTTAAGTATTTTCAGGATTACATTTCCAAACCAAAAGTGCCTTATTATTGTAAACATGAAAGAATGTGATAAGACATCATAAAAATGTAGCTGCTGCTTTGAACTCCTGTGGTCCAACATCTGGTTTGTATCCGTTTCTGTATTCAGTAACATGTACTTCTCAGTGTTTCTCCTCTTACCCTCTTTTTACTCTTTAATGAAGGCTGTTTTTTTAGCTAACCCCCATATTAGCAGGTGTGTGAGCTTTACTTGTATCTCTTTAGATCATGCACCTCTATAGGTGGTACACATGTCTTTTTTTTCATGCCTGAACATGCAGGCGGGATTTCGGCAGTAAGCTGTGTTGTGGGTCGGAACGTTCAAAGCAACAACAAGATCAATCGAACAGCTTCTCTGAGACCTGAAAAGTGCAGTAGGTAGATTTTTAGCAGAGACAAAACAAGAATCACAGAAAGCATAAAAGTTTTCAAAGGAGAAGTGCAGCCTCGCAGTAGTAAAAGTAGGTTAGTGACTGGAAGGTTTTTGGCTCAGATCCCTTGAGATAATGTGGCAGGTGCCCTTGACCGAGGCACTGAAGGCTGGCAGACCAACAACTGTGGTGATGCTGCCAACAGCAAGTGAACAGTGGTTTTAAAAAAAAGTGCAGATGTCTCTGTTGTTGCTTGATAAATAAAGAATTTTAGGATCACTCGCTTATTTTTCCTTATTTTTTCCCCTCCTTGTCTCCATTACTTCCTCTGTGTCATTCTTGGACTTGTCCTCTTGTCATCTGACTTCCCTTCTTTTCCCTGTCTTGCGATATAACGTCCATGGTTGGTTGATTTGGGTGAGCGGGGGTGGGAACAGGAAAGGCTTCCACAGTTCAGGGCTCCAGAGAGCTTGGCCGGGCAGCAGCAATCAATCACAGGCTAAATCCCTCCTCTCTCAGGACGGCCGTGTGCCAGGTAACATGGTCAACAGCTGCAGAGAAATATTAAGCCTACAGCAGGTACCTGAACTTAAACAGACTGGTAAACAAGGTCTCTGAAATGTCTGCAGTTTGGAGAAACGTACTGAGTATAGCAATGTACAAAAAAACAAACAAAAAGATCACACCAGGCAGTGCGTTGGCTGTTTGTTCAAATATTTGATGCCAAGCTTTTTCATCCATGAAAACAATAACTGTCCTTACTTTATGTCAGCAGTAAAAGTACCAGGATAGGCAAAAATCTCAAGGTGGTCAGTTGTGGACACGAGAAAATTTACTTTTTTAAACTCTTAATCACACAAGTGTCATAGAGGTCAGCAGGACTTATTTATGATTTTTCATCTTTAGGTAAGCATTTGAATTTCTTGCCCAGAGTGATTGAGGAGTCACAGTCATGTGAAGCGCACCTCGGGGGGGCAGAATTTTCTGTCTGCTTGTCCCTGTGTTGCTTTGGTACACCGTGAACCTCCGTAAAGCTCCTCTCTTCTTTCCAAAACCCTTTGAGTTTTAGCACTAACGGTAACAGTTACAGTCGTTTAAAGAGCGTTTGTAAAATAGGAAGCTTGTGTTATAATCCTGGATAAACTGTGATAGCCAACTGTTCTTTTTAAAGGTACACAAATATTGACCCTCGGTTTGTGCTTCTCTTGCAGACGTGTCTAGAGTTGGAGCGGTATCTACAGACCGAGCCCAAGCGACTCTCAGAGCTCTTTGACGATGAGCTGGACTGCCTCTTAACGCCGGCGTTTATGCAGGGGGGTGACAGTGATGAAGACCTGATGGACCCCCTCCTTCCCAGCCTCCCTGACCAGCCCAGTCCACCTTCGCTACTTGTGACCCTCCCCAAGGTGCAGGCCAAAATTCTACACGTTCCCAATCCCAACAAGAACCAGACAGCAGCTGGGCCTGAAACCCTCACAGGCAAGGAGCAAGTCCTCGGAGGAGTCAGTGCAGCTCAGCTTAGTGCCGCTGTCACTTCCCTAACACCGCCATCATCACCGGAGCTTGGCCGACACCTTATTAAGCCCACACAGACACTCACTGCAACAGCAGACGGCACATTAACGCTCAAACTGGTGGCAAAGAAGGTGGGATTAGGGGCGGCTAAGCTGGTAGCAGCGCGAGCGTTACCATCCCCACCAGGCCGAGGAGGAGCCCTCAGTGACAGCGAGCAGGGAGGGGTGGGAAGTCTGGCAGGAGACGTACCAGAGAACAAGAAGAGAGTCCACCGGTGCCAGTTTAATGGTTGCAGGAAGGTTTACACCAAGAGCTCCCACCTGAAGGCACATCAGAGGACCCACACAGGTAAAACCTTAATTGCATTCCCAGGAATTCAATTCACGATGCCACTAGTGTTTCTGATGAACTTAAAGTTTTCCACGTGGCGTTTTTTCCTGCAGTTTGAAAGCATGCAAGAACTTGTAAAACACAACACTGAAAACATTTTGATCAGTGCACAGAGTGGGCTCAAAGTTGTCACTGTGAAATGCTCCCCATGATTTTAGTAAAGTGCAGTACACAGACGTGGCAACTAAGAAGTTTCGGACAAACGTGTCTGACTATTTAACTGCCCTCAGTTAGTGAAGCGGAAGAAAAGTACAACTCTGACTGGCAAGGAGGGAAGAGGTGTTGTCTGATGATGTCTGCGGGTTAGAAGCTTCTGATTTTGAATTAAAGACTCTAGCCTGGAGCTGGAAGCTTTGAGTACGGCTTAGCGTGCTGTTTTATGATGTTTCACACTATGATTTGGTTGAGTTTCCGCAGAAATCTGCAAAGAAAACATCTGATGGATTTTTAAAAGAGATTAAAAGCTCTTTTCTTCTTCTTGTGCTTCTCAGATGATCCTCCAGAATTATTCATTTGCTTCTTGATATCACCTCAGTGCCAGAAAGGCCCTGCCTCAGTAATTGCCTGATGATTGATAGACTGGTAGTAAATTACTTTGCGAATTCAGCCGTGTCCAACTGGGTCTGACGTGCAGCTTTAGCTGCTTACTGCAGCTGCCCCATCTGTGACCCTCAAACAGAACACATGCCGGCTAATGCGACCAGGAAGGGGCAGGGAGCTGCGAGTTTTCTGTAGTGAAAGCATGAGGACACAGGCTTTGGCTTGTTGAAGTAGACTCATAATCAAAGATGGATTTGACTGATGTAGCCTAAGATGAATAAACTTTATATTCCTTGTTTTTTACTCTGTAATAATCCATCTGTATAGGTCACAAAGTAAATTATGACAGAGAAGCAGATCCATGTTTCTGATGGTTATTCAGATTTAAAAGATTTTACCAAGACATTTATCATTAGTCATAACAAATGACAGATAAATAACCGAAATATGGTATTTATGGCTTATAAATACCTGACTCATACCTGGATCATTAAGCTCTAGGGTAGAAACCCATTCAACAAAATTCTCCGCACCTCAGCATCCACTAACCCCACTCTGTGATTTTACATGGCCGAACACTTCATGGCGGAGTTGCTGGCGCTCCTGAGAGCCCCCCATTCTTTCAGAAATGTTTGGAAAAGCGGTCTGCATGCCCAGTTGCTTGATTTTATACACCTCCGGTCAGGGAAGTAATTGGAACACATGAATTCAATGATTTGGATGGGTGAGTGAATACTTTTGGCAGCATAGTGTATCTCTAGTTTTAGTGACTGGAACCAGTGCACGGTTGATTTTCACATTCTGACAAATCCACTCATGAGTTTCGAGGTAACAAAAAAAAGCCTCCTGGATTTAAAAACTTCTGCCTGAGTGACTCGGGCTGAACCCATCATTTATCTGCAGCATAGGGGATGTGCAGATTTGTACCACCTGAAGGTAGCATTATTCAACTTTAGCTTTAACCACACCATCATTTACTGTAGCGGTTTATGTCCTCCAGTTGTCATCATACAGTGTTAGCAGTTTCACCAGGATCACAGTACGTAGCCTGAAGACCTCGTCTGTATTAATACCGGCAACTTTGGCATCATAAATCCAGCATGTTACAGGCTTATATGATCCCCAGCAACCATTGCATGGCTTTAAGTATAGCATTACATTCCAGGGCAGCACCTGGCATAGCTGGGGGAACCCACCACTGTAGCTTTATTGTAGCTAATCCAGAGTGGAGCCGCTAGTTTTCTGGTGCCCTGACGCGAGCTCGGGTATCTTTAATCTTCTGATTATTCCACAGACGAGTCATGCTAACCAACGATGAGCTTTTAAAGGCAGAATCCTTCACTGTGGGGAAAAAAGACGAAGAGGACACCCTGAAGACACAGTAGCTTCCACACTCTGTATGTGTGTGTGCGCGCACGTGTGTGTGGCATAAATGTGGGGGTGGTGTATTCCCTCCCGATGTGTTCATTACAAGCGTAGTGCTGTGGTTTAATTAGCTTAATCCTCTTTTTGGGTTATTATAACCATAAATCATTGAACATACATGTAGGGAGGGATTAGCATAGCAGAAACTACAGGGAGGAGCAGCAGTAGAAAGCCTGCACAGTGTCAATACACTTACTGTCACATAGTGCACACCAGAGGCCATTAGAAACATCATTATATTGAGGTCTGTCAGCGGCTATGCTGCACGTGTGCTTCATTTCCTTTTTTTGTAGAAAACGTATTAAAGCGTTCATACTGAAAACAATTTCTCCTTTTTTTTCCTTTCTTATACGGAAATGTTTAATTAGGGGTGAACAGAAACATTAATAGATGCAACGGATAGACGCAAATGAATTCACTTAATCTCTAAAGTGCCCAGCCGGCGCTGTTCTGAGTCGCAGCCAGGGTTTGTCTAGTTCTCCACTGTTTTACTTTTCAGTTTCTTGGATGTGGTTGGATCTTTAAAAGCAGTACACAGCTAATTGTATCACTTTGCGCTTCAACATAATATACTTAACTACATATTTGGCAGCCAAGTTAGCGGGATAGTTGGCCAGTTTTGGAAAGAGGCTTTGCCTTTCAAAAGTCTTTGCTGCACATTTTTGAATGAGCACGAGCTCAGTGTGGAGGAGTTTTGTTCTACAGCCAAAAAAGTAAATGAATAAATACATAAGAGCAATAAAATATGAGGATTTGCATGCATCACTTTGCAGCTCGCTGGAATGCTGATTGTCATTATCATCTTATGCCTAGCTTCTGCAGGCAATCAGTCAAAATCCTTCCTAACTTAATTTAGTTACAATTATTAATGCATTGTTTGATTAAACAAAGTAATAAAAGATAGATTGGCTGAACCAGTGTAAGCATATATCACTGGTGTCTTTTTTTGTTGTTGTATAAAATAGAGATGCAAACAGCAGTGATGTAGTCAAACTGCAGAAACGCCCGTTTGTCAGCCACAGGCCACATAAGTTCAGCAAGAGAGGAAGAGAAAAGAAAATGGTAGTTAAAGTGAAAATGAATTTCTCAGCAGTCTGCAGCACCTCACTCAGTGTGAGTGATTTAGTGCAAGTTAGCAGGTATGTTGCGCTAACTGAACCTTTCACAGTATCCGAGCGATGCAGCTGCAGCAACAGAAATAGTTAATGAAGCAAATGAATAGCAGCCTTGTTACAGCCATAAAGTGTACAGATAAACTCAGTGTGCAATAAAGTAGCTCCTGGAAGTATTTTTACTGAGGAGGAGAGGAGAACGACAAAAAAACGTAAAGTCGGTATGTAACCTTAAAAGGGGGGGAGTATATAACCAATTATTATAGAATGGTAAATAAATTAGGAATTATATAAATTGCATTTTACCTTTTCTATTATACCTGTGTAACCAGAGCACAGAATGTCACTGCCAACCAACCACCAGCCACAATATGCAACAAATACCTTTATAAGTGAGCTGTGTCAATAGTGGTGATCCTGAACTGTTTACAGTATTAGAATTTTATGCATTTTTACCAAGATAACATTTTTTATTTTGAAATAGTACAATAGTATAGTTCATGTCGTAAGATTCGGTAAGCATGTAGTTACCTGTGATTATTTGTTGTTTGTAGAATTAGTTATTTCTTGGAAATATTAAGCAATAGAATTGTTTAAATAAAATAAAAATTCACCTCCATCAGTTTTTTATTTTTACAAAACAAAATTAACCAGGGTGTCACTTCGGCTGGCCACGTTTCACCCAGACTGGGTCCTGAACTTGTCAACATTTTCAAGTTCATCACAGGCGGGTGTAGGTGACAGTGTGTAAATGCAGAGTCAGACACTCCTCAACAGTCCTATGTCACAGGCTGTCACAGGCAGCAGTTCCTCAACAACAAATCAGTAGGTTACAGTTTCATGTAGTGAAGGAGAGGCGTTATTTTCCACTTGGGTCTGTGTGGTTCGGAAACTTCTTTAGCATACTGTTGTAGCTTGCTTGAGTCACTGCATTCGAGAGCAGTGGGACCGCATTAACATTTGTGAAGCTTTCCATGGACATGAGGTGCATGTTCAATGAAATCTGCATAACCTCATAATGATGATGCTTGTATTGTGTGACTCAATATTACGTGATGTGAGGTGTATTCTGTCTGTGTTCTGTCATGCAGGTTAAAACACTGGTCACTCCGGTTTAAGTCGAGACCTCCACTTCCCCCCCCACCTCCACCCCCATGAGGTGACACCACAACCTCATGTGGAGTCAGGAGAAGCCCTGCTGTAACCCCTCGACATCCCCATAGAATCAAAACTCCAACCTGTCTCTCTCTCTCACTCTCTCCCTTTTGCTTATTCAGTTTGGGTTGCCAAGCAACTGCATCACACTCTTCCATAATTGGTTGGTGGCTGGTGGATTGTCCATGCCTGTTAATCTCTCTCCGAGTCGCTCTCTCACTCTCTCTTTTTCTCTCTCTCTTTCTTTCACACACACACACACACAGACACGCACACACACAGACACACCACTACCCCCCTCCTCTCTTCTCTCTTTCTCTCAGTTGCTAGGTGACTTTATCATGCATCCTTGCCTTGCCGTGCTATAATTGGCTGGCGTCATGGTTGCTGTGGCGTCAGGCCCAAGCTGGCCTTGCTTCATTCCTCTAACACTGTGTGCGTGATATGGTGTGTGTGCGCGTGATATGGTGTGTGTGTGTGTGTGTGTGTGTGTGTGTGTGTGTGTGTGTGTGTGTGTGTG